CACTTCTCCAAATTGTTTGGACCCAGGGACGGCTCCGCTCAAGATTGCAACATCAAGACGCTGGCCGCAACAAACCAAACGAATGCTCCATGCATCATACTCAGAAAGTCATCAATCATATCATTGCAGGAGCTGTCTACGCGTGAAGAACGTAACACTTAGCACACCCAGCTCATGTCTAAAATCCGAGCATCTGTCGCTCCACTCAGGCAGGCCGAGGTGGACTGCAACGATCCGTTACGTGGAATCTGCATTAGCAGTGACAGTCTCATTCTAGAGGTAGCTGAAGTGTTCAACCTGGCCGTTCCCCTTGATCTGAGGTCATAAAAATGTGCTTCTTTTCGGAGAGCCTGATGTGATCAGCAAGGAGGTTCCAACATGCAGCCATGCAAAACACAAGAAACTGCTAGTACTGTATGAAACCAAAGGGTCTGCTTGAACGACATCGATGTTAAAAGCAGAATTTGGCCGGTGTTTGTGTTTCTCGGACAGTTCGCAAAGCTGCAGTTCTCTCAGGTCGGAATAGGGATGCAGCAACAAACTCACAAATGGAAGACCCCGTCCAAGTCTTCAAGCCCATTCACCCGCGCGCCTCTGTAGCGGCTGCCCTTTAAGGGCACCAGAAGGCATCCACAAACGCTCTGCGCGTTGCTGTCGTTGTGCCTGCTGATCCCGTAAAATGGGGAAGGTCAGGCGGCACTTTGTGGCCCCAATGCCTGGAAAACAATGTGTGCACCCGGAATCTGCCTCACAAAACTTGAAACGATTCGGACCGCCAGCCCTGAATCATCTAGAAATCACAGACAAGAAAAGTGTCAATTCATATGCAGCGGCATGCAGCAATGGATGGTGCTTCTCTGACTATGTCAACCATTTTAATCATGGGGATCATGGGGCTCAAAGTGCAAAGGCAAAGCAACTAAACAACCAAACAGCATTTGCTCTTCGAAGCAATAATCGGGTTGGCAAATCTGGGCAGGTGCAAACAAATGCCACAAACACAACTAGGGTCAGCTTGGTGGCCAGCCTTCTAGGCCAAGAGGCCCTTTGAGAACCTTGTTCGATTGAACCTATCTGAGTAGGGCAGTCATGTGCAATCTGTGGGAAGGATCTATAAGCACGACTAGTGATTGGCAGTCCCAGCAGGCTGCAAACCATCCGCTGGGCGGGCGCCACTCTGATGAAAGTTCACTTGGTCACAGCACCAGGTGGCAACTGCCATGTGCCACTCGCGCATGTTCGTGCAGCACACAAACAAGCAAACACACAAGCATGCAAAAACACAAACAACAACGCGAACAGACAAAAACCATGAACAAAAACAAAAAAAACAAACACAAGCCACAAACATGCACATCTCCATCCAATCCCTGCTGCAGGCAAACGCACCGTTTGTCCTAAGCTTCACGCATATGCCAGGAAAAAACGACTTGTTGCCCTTGGGATATCGCTTCTTGTTTCGCTCATTGTATCGAACACTTCATGCCCTTACATGTCCTCCCGAGTTAAAGGGAAGACCAGTGCCAATGTTGTTGCCCAGTCAAGCGAGTCGCTCCCCAGCCTTGAGTGGTACACAGGCATGGCAGCCGATCGGGGTCAGTTCTCAATGGGCTTCCGTTTTGGAAAGCGTTGAGCCTCGATTGTGAAATGCGCTGTGAATGCTCCGCTGACATGGTTGGATATTCTGTCGCAAGACTTGCGTGCACAGCGCCCTTGGACAGCGTAGTCCTGTCAACGTGCAGGTGCATCGGAAGTACTTGCTAGTGACTGCTGCTTCAAGCAGCTTGAGCTGGATATCGGGCTCGAGAAGCTACGCATAGCAGACTGAATTGATGGTTTCGGTCGCCCGAATTCTCAACCCAGCGGCTTAGAGGCCGGCTGGCTGGCGGGCGGGCTGGCCACCCCTTAGGCTGACACGCAATAAATAACCAGGGAAGCAAATATTGAGATGCACATTGGAAGGCCGCTGCAAGGGGGAAGTGAGTGTATTTACGCTGGCAAAGCCAAGTCGCAATACAATGAATTCTTGCCATGGGCTAAAGGGTTCAAAAGCTTGGCAGCTCCCCATGCCGACCTGAAGCGTTGCCATGTGCCTGCCACTGCCTGACAATGAGCGTGGGCTTGAGTACGAACATACGCTTGCTTGCACAACCTGAAGACCAAGCGTGGCAGCTACCTGCCCACAAAAGGTCTAGACACCTGCTATTTGTCACACTCCTTTGTTCTTGTAATCTCCGAAGAGCGCATAGCGGCAATTTCAGAAACTCTGTATGTATCAGGCACGAGGGCTATAGTTGTATAGTTGTATATTCAATATATATATAAATATATAGTGTTGGTGCTCTTATGACATCAGTTCAAGAATGCCTGGCTTGTTGCAAGACGTGGGTTTGCTTTTGCACAAAAGTTCAAGGGCCTTCTAAAGTCGTAAAAACTAGATTAACTATGCGCATGTCTTCGTTATCTTATTTGCGTATATTGCCCTGTGAATCTCCTTAATCTCAGATTTTGGCGGCCGCAGAGTTAGTTGCATCCGCAACTGTGTCTTAGTCAGCACAAAGTGTATCTCTTCGCTGCTGGACATCGGTTCTAGTATTGATACTATCTTGTTGAACCCCTCCTCCTTTCCAAATACAGCTTGCCTGTACCCATTGATGTTGCTCATGATTCTGGTACTGGTTTAAACCTGGAATATAGATTCTGGTACAACTGTGTTTGATCCGACTTTTGCAGGAAATCCCTCAATGCATCAACATCTATTTCGCTCCTGGGGAATCCAGACGTTTACAGCCCTGTACTTTCGCATTTAGAATCATGCCCATATCTTGTCAGGTCATTGAGTGAGTTTCTTAGAAGTTTGCTTGAGATACTACATGCACACTCTGCATTTGATGAAAAAGGTTGTGGTGTCTTGACAGATTGATCAACGCGTCAGATTCGTTGCAGTCTTACTTAAAATATCGAATATACATTTGTTATGCATGATAATTGCTTGTGTGTGTTCAGCGAATCCAGGGTTGCGCTATAGCAGGTGATTCAATACCAATTTCCGGTCATTCTCCTTAAGTCATCCCTACTGCAGTAGTGATGTAGTATTCTGCCAAGAACACTCATATGCTACCTGCCACCTGTTAATGTAGTATTCTGCCAAGAACACTATATGCTACCTGCCACCTGTTACTTGTCCCCTAGTGGTTCAGAAATGCAATGTCTATGCCTCGTCGATCATGTTCACAACTTCTAGTTCGATGCATTGCTGTTTGCATGCTGTTCATGTATTGATGTGAGCGCTACGCAGCTTTCAATTCACTCCAAACCATGTGAGGCTGGAGGAGACTAATAGATTCGTTTGCACCCCGCAAAATGTGAGTAAGAGTAAACTCAACCAAACCAATAGACCAAAAAACACTGCTGGAAGCAGCGCAATAAAATGTGATGTCCATGCCAAGCAAATACCAAACGCCAAAAAACATCGAGTTGTTGTGCTTTTGGCTTGCCAGCGCCAAAAAACAAAAACAAACGAGAGAAAAAACAACAACAGACATCAAAAACGAAAAGGCTGAGAAAACGAAACAACACAACTTATGGGAGAAGCTTGGGTTTGCAAAAATGGCTTGATTGGTGTTGTCCAATGTTTATTTGTGTTTGCGGTTGTTTTCCCAGTGTTTGTGTTTTGTTAAATCATACAGCTCAGAAACTTGTTTCTAGTCATATAATGTCGCGAAAGGTGCATGCTTTCCAAAGCAAACAAACATAATTGGAGGAAACAAAGCGCACACGTATTGCAACAACACAAAGACACTCCACATGTGTGCAAAACCAAACGCTTCTCCCGCACGTTGTATTTTTTGTGTTGTCCTTGTCTTGTATTTGTGGGCTTCCAGTTCTGTTGAACACATTACTGAAACAAATATGTCCGATTGAATTCGAATGAACGACCTGCTGCAAGAAGCCTTGTACTTGCAAATTAATGGGCCGAAATTTTCAGTTTCCTTGAGATATTATCGGTGTTTCTCTCCTGTTGCGGGGCACGCAAATCAGAAGACACACCCAGCTGGTCTTGCCTCACTGGTATTTATATTCTAATCAAAATCTAGGATTTCCTACTTTGAAAGGAACTCCGATTCAACACCTTGAACTGAATTCGCATGTTCCCTGGATGTCTATTGAATGTTCACTCCTTTCAAGGGGCAACCAGATTAGAAGAAACGACCAGCGTGTCTTTCTTTATTAGAATCTAACTAAATTTTACAAAACACTTACTTGGAAGGGAATTCCTGTTTAAATTCTAACTCAAATAAGACGTCTAATTAAACTATTTGGAATTAAGGAAACACCAGCCTGTCTTTCCTCACTGGGTTCTATTCCATTCCTAACAAAATCCTACTTGGAAAGGAATTCTTGTTTAGAATCTAGTTTGAAATAAGAATTCCAAGTGAATTCCAATGAAGTCCTACTTAAACGTAAAGCCTTGCTGTTAAAAGTGCTGTAGAGGCAGGCAAATTACTAGAAGACCGGTGTGAGGACAGATGCTTGCAGTGGATGGCCTTCTTCCAAACCCAAGAAAAATCCGGAAAAAACAAAATAAAAATAAAATAATCATAATAATAATAATAATAACAATAATAAACTAAACAGAAAAAACAGAAGAAAAAAAAGACATCAGGTAAACTAGCAAAACTTGAAACAAACAGAAAACCAGGGTCCTCCAAAAGAAGAGCCCCAAACCAGAAAACTAAACAAAAAAAGAAGAATACAAAAAACGGAACAAAGACAAACAACGTCTACGAGACAAATGCGGGAAGTAGCTACCCTTCTTCTGGAGGACCCTGATTCTTTTTTTCTGCTGATCTGTTACTTTCTAGCTTTTGGAATTTGCCTTCTTCCAGAGGTCCTTTGTTTTTCTGTTTGTTGTTTCACCTGTTTGTTTCGCTGTGGGGTGGTTCCAGGGAGGGTGGGTACAATAACCATATATATATATATCATGCAATCACATGTTTCTCTGTATTTCTTTCGAGGACAATGCTACAACAACCGGCAGCATCCTCCATGCTCTGTATGGTCTAATGTGGGTCAGTCGACGAGCAACACCCACTTGGTGCTGGCAGGTGCGCAACAACTTTTGTGTTGGCATTCCTGGCACGTAATTAGGGAAAATCGGCATGTCTCAATCAATATATAAATGCCAATGCTGATCCATGCATGAACACATCCTGGAACATCTGTGTGTATCCTGCTGTGTCCTGCATTGAAAACGCAAACCATGAACACAGTGCCCATCTTGGCACCGGTCTATGCGAATTACGGAGTCATCAACGCCACCTGTGAGTCGACCTTCTCGGCCACCTGATCCACTCGGTGCAAGCGCGCCTTCAGCTCTTTGACCACCTCCCCAATGGTTGGGGGGTCGGGGCGGGCTGCGGTGGGGATGTGGACAAAGTGGTTCTTGACCAGCTGCGGCAACTTGTTACTGGCCACATGGCACCAAACCTCCCAAATGGAGCTGTTGATGAAGGTGAGCAGCCAAAGATCTTTCTCATAGCGACTCAATTCCTCCACCTTCTTGTAGAATGTGTCTGGATTCTCGCTCCAATGGCATTTGGGGAAAGCATGGTGGATGACATGGTAGCCTTCGTTGTACTGTGTGCGGTTCTCCAAGCTGTCGACAAGGTTGTAGGCCAGAGCGCAGTTTCGTTCGAAGAAGGTCTCCATTGGAACGTGCGACTGCTGAGCCACAAAAACGTGCTGGCACCAATTGCGCACGGCATCGGTGGCGTGATCCAGCAGCCAGGGCATGCCAAAAACGCAAAATGTGGCCCAGCCAGAGTACCTCTCTGCCATGTGCTGCAGCAAGAAAAAGAAGCCTCCGATGACTGTGACCGTTGCAAAGAACCATGCACACTTGCCAGTCCGAGCAGCATAGTAGGGAAGCTCTATGTAGGCCCCAATTTGGAATCGGAACCAGTAGTTTGCAAGAGCAAACCAGCTGTCCCTATCGTACTGTTCCGTGCTGGAGATGTCATAAGGACCGTTGTTTTGGAGGTGGTGCATCAGTGGGTGGTGTAGGAGGAACACCAGAGGTGGGATGCCCATGATGGGGTCCAGGAAGATGCTGGGAAGCAGTCGCAAAAGCCTGGACTGGAAGAGTGGCCGGTGGGACGTGAAGTGACGGAAGTGCAGCATGCCATGCATGAAGAAGTTGATACGGACAAACTGAAAGACACCGAAGCCATAAGCACAGGCAACATAAAAGTTGGCATGGATGAAAAGGATGTACACCAGTGCTGCCATGGGCACCAAGATGCTTACCATAGCCATCAGCATATGGAGCAAAGGTTTGTCCTTTGGGTCCATGATGAAGTTACTCATCTCAAAGCGGGACATGTCAACTGGACACTCCAGCCTTGGACCCGTGAAGTCGCTGTTCTTCTCCTTTTTGCTGACGTCCACCTGCTTCCATGTCATTACCTTTTCCTCCAGATCCACGTCTTCATGGCGCTGGACGTCCCAGAAGCCTACCCACGCCAGCAGCAATATCCCCGCATAGGTGAGGACGGCTGCCGCCACACCTCCTGCAAGCATCCTCGCCACCCCGATCGTCAACACGAGGGCGTAGTTCTCTGCGTCCACTGCTGTCGGCAACAGCCCGTTGTAGTCAAAGTCCCGAATCTGCTGAGCAAAGTCGAACATCGTGAACCGGCCAAACCTAGCTGCTTGATTGGACTTCAGCCTGATGGCTTGGCCGATCTCTTGGCGGTCTCAACTACATCCATGGTAGACATGCAACCGGAACTGCCTGACCTGACGAGTTGGAGTCCCTAGTCCCTACCCCTCAGGAGCTCGCATCTTGAGAACTTCGGATTGGTTGCCCAACTTCCCAACACGGCAAGGCCCAGACCTACACAACTGCGCTCCAATGCAGGCATATTCCTTTGACAGCCAGCCTTCTGCATCAAGTCGCGCTGCTGTCTAGGAGGTATGGATCTGCAAACCCAGTCCTGAATTGCTCAGCTTCTGCCGTGATTACGTTCCTGTGTCACCACTGTGAGCAAAGATCCGTGCAATCATGCTTGTCTATTGAGTAAACGCAGCAATAGCACCTCATACAGCCAAGTTCACATTTAACGTAATTGATGCCAGAACACCCGTGACTGAATCCCTTCTCATGCTGAATCATGCTAGCATGGAGCCTCCGCAGGCATCCGTGCGTAGGCCATCATAGCTCAGCTCAAAGCCGCAATGATACGCCAGTCCGTACCAAAGCCGAAACCACAAGTCGCAGTATGCTGGAAGCTCGCAGACCAGACCCAAAACCGGCAACTCAACTTGTTCCCTTGCAAAAATCACTGCCACGAAAATCATTGCCACGAGGTGAAACGAGTGTGTCTTCAATGCCATTCGCCGGTTGGTAACTGTCAATTCCTTGGTTGTCACTGACAGAAGCCCACCAAAGGCATGTTTGTTTGTTACATCTTACATCAAAAATTGTGGCTATACATTCCTCCCATCAATGACTACCAACAACGACCTTCCATCATTGTACATCGTTGGACGGTCCGTAGAGAGTCATTTCCAGAAGCTGGATGTAGCGCCTAATGTTAAGCTCCAATGGCTATTTCCAGCAACAACAAGATGATAAACGGCTATGAACTTGTCGGTCCTATGCAAACGTGTTTGTGTAGTCCTGTTGTTGCATTCCAAGTGCTGATCTATTTGCAAATCCTCCTCCCGTCCATGTGGCCCTAAACGGAGCGCCAGCGAGCCTCGTTTCGCTCAACCGGCGACAGGCGGAAGGCTGGGCATTTCAAAAAACAGTGATGCGTTGTGAAAGGTGACTGTCCTCTACCTTCGGTCGGACATGTATATAGTACCTTCCCTAATATCGCTTTCAGACTCTAGCCAAAAGACCTAGGCAAACCTGCAGTCAGAAAAGGTCGTTAGCAGCAGAATGTCACTTTTCCACTGCGGAATAACAACTGGCAAGAGTCAAAATCAAGCGTAGTTACCCCAGTCACTTGTTTTCTAGTATGCCGCAACTTGCGGAATCTCCTTTTTGGTACTTGAAGCGAAATTACAAGAAGGTAAATCATGGAGGGTTGGGCACAACCAAAACTGAAACAGACCGCCTTGCCCACTGCCCCGTGCCCGCGGTGCATCCCTAACCGGTCATCTGGCTCGGCTGGGTCAGGTAGCCAAAGCCAGGCGGAAGGAGCAAGGAAGAGGTGGTGGTGAAATTTGGGATTTGCTGCTCCAAAAGGCTAGTTCTCCTGTGTGATGGCTAGCTTCCGTTGGCCGAATTTGAAAAAGCGTATCGCCAGGGTGAATCAGTTGCGAATGGCTTGGACCCGTATGTTTCTGTGTTGGATTCCGGAAGAGGCTCAAGTCTGGCTGAGGCTTGGTGGTTCAGAATCAAACTTATACTACATTTCAAGGCAACCAGGAACCTGACATGGCAAGGAGCAAATCCGGAAATACTTGGCTATCTGCATTGAGCGGCTGGATTGTTGCTGACTAGTATTGAAATGCTCGAAGTGCAATAACATCCTTCGATGGAAAGCATAGCCTGCATTATCCCACTCACCATGTCTTCTGTTCTGCGTGCGCACCCCTCATCAATCACATGCGAGACATTGCACCCTGCACAGCAGCTCCTTCTCAAGGACACTGTATTGCGCAACTCGAAGGCAAGCCACCCTGAGGTAAAATCGCAATACAGCCACATATATATATATATATATTATATACATGCGCGCAAGGAAACAGCAGGCATGCATCATGCGGAACCTCGGTACATCACCTGAAGGGCAAGGTCAACTTGGAGTTTGTTTGCACCTCATCCTCCACAGAACACGAAGACATTGTTCTCGAAGACATGTGGGAACAAACATGTCAAAGTCAGGGATCCCGGCAAAAATGCGTGAGTTCTTTCCGGTTGCCTGTGACTATGAACATGTTGGGTCCCTCAGATTCCAAGGCCGGGCAGGTTGGGCTTCATGCATTGTGATCTACTCCCCCCACCTGGCCACCTATTGGGACCAGCGCCGGCAGCCAACCCCCAAGCCGCCGAAAGGAGAAAACACACATCGCAGCCGGGTGGAGGTCCAATGGTTAGACACTCCACACCGCAGATTGCTGGCATGCATCAACACTCATATCTTCTCCGGGGTCCCATCCCACACTTCAGGCAGTGTATGCAAGTCTGAGTAATCCAAACTAAGAGCGTTCACCTCATCAAAGTGGAAGCTCCCAAAAAGGCTTGCGAGTGGCTTTCATTGTAAAAGGGCCCCTACTTTGTCTGAAACTCGAGACAAAGAGTCCATTTGATGTGCTACCCTTCTGACCAACTGCAGGTTTTCGCCTCAGCTTTCCGATCCTTTCAGTTCAAATGTCCACTAGCTTGGACTGGCTGGGGAGCCGTTCGAATCTAGAGACGAGTGTAAGCGGGCCCTAGTTTCATTTCTCATCCATCAGCCCTGGCAAGCTGACAATTCTCACATCCACCGCCCGGGAAAAGTGCGTGTTCCAATAGCAGTAGCTTGTTTCTCAACTGATCTCAACTTTTTACTCAGCTGATCTCAACTGGAAAGTCCTTGCTGAATGTGGATTCCTGCTTTGCCAGCGCCTTGGCCCTGACTCACCTGTCAATCGATTCTAACGCTGATGCTCTGCCCCCTGACAATTGTCTCAATGGTACGTATCCAGTGTGTAATGACATAATTCGGCATGTTCAATCTTCCAAAAGCCAGGGGCTCGAATGTAAATGCAACCATGCTTGAAGAGTCGTTTTAGATATGTTTAAGGGGTATGACTCGGGGTATGGTTCGGGGATATGCATCACCCCAGGTCCGACTTCTTCGTTGACTGAACTCGCTATTGACACAGACACAGATGTAAGCCTGAATTCCACAAAACTAAGCTTGTCTTGCCCACTGGCATCAGTGCCTGCAGTCCAGCAATCTGGCTCAGTGCAAGAAGCTTTAAATTGAAGGGATTGAAAGCCCGCCAGGTCCGTCCGGATTGTCAAGTTGTTGATCCGCTCTTTGCATCGTCACTGTCACAGTTCTTGAGAATCTGAAGAACAAGCAACGCACATGCGATTAACAACGCTCATTTCTGCTCTGGGGTGCGGTTCTAGGCAGGGACAGCACATAAAGAAAATAATGGTTGGTGGCCTTGAACAGGAATATGATGTCTTTCTGGTCATCCATTGGTCGGCCAACACGTCAAAGCTAAAAAAGCATGCCCCTGCGCATCTTTCAGGGCATTGAATTTACTACTGGGTGCATATATATATATATCTAATCAGAAGCAGCGGTGTTGATACATAGCCGTAGCTGGTGCCATCTGCAAAGTTGAATTGTACTCAAGCTTAAGCAACGGAGCTGTCCGCTTCATGCCGAGGGCACACCTTCCTGTCTCAGGAAGGCACCTCACACCTGAAACCCTCAGTTGGCTGCTGCCCAAGCTATGTGCCTGCTGCCTTGAGACATTACCATTCTGGAGCAGGTTTGGACATCGATGTGACATGTGCTTGCAAGTGATCAAACTTGCCTTCACCTCACTCCATCCTTGAAGCCAGCCTTTCGCAACCGAGGGTAATGCCATCGAGGCCCGAGGTCCGAGTCGAGCTGGATCGGCCACCAGCAGGACAAGGTATGTACAGTAAGCCCAGCAACCCATCTAGTCACTTCCCAAGATCCGAATCTACAGTCCTACGGATCTCTGAGAATGTCAGTGACGTCCGTTTCTCATGGATGGTGCTGGCATACCCTGGTGCTTCACAGTGCCAGGAATGCTAGGATGCAGGCAACCTTTCTGCAGTGATGCATGGCACACAATGCAGATAGGCTGTGAATTGCAAGCAAGGCCTGCTGATGACTTTGGGGAGCCCGTGCAGCTCAGACACAAGTAATTACAATCACATAGACATTTGACATCGGAACATCGCTGTCAGAAACCCCAGGGGTGCCTGCCCAGCTAGAATGATTGAACGCCCTGCAAAAACTCCAAGGGTAACCGTCAACTTCGCAACACGCCATTTCGGAGCACGGTGTCCGACAACACGTTTCTCTCGGTTCCACATGTTTTGATCAAATCCCCCGGAGAGAAGCACCACAAAAACCCGCAAAGTGCTCCTCTGCCGACACAGCGCCTGCGCCACTCTTGTACAGTAACTGTGACGGGCCCCACATCAGAAGGCCCGGCCTGCGCCCTCAGGGAAAACTTTGCAGCGTGCTGCGAGGAAACTCTTTTTTGTGCTGCACAACTGCTCGGAGAAGGGCAAGGGCAGGCCAAGACTGGCGCGTTTGGAGGCTGATATGAGCGATTCCATGCAACTATATGACCTATTAAGGTTAACCCTTCTCAAAGGGGGCTTCACGGCAGCCCAACACGACACATTGCCCAGCATCATTGAGAAGTGCAGACAGAACAGGGGGCGAATGAAGGAAAGACACAACTGTCATGATCCCTGAAAATTTCAGGGTTTTCCCTGGAAAAAGCGAAAATCATGTTCTCAGTGGACTCTCCTCCAATTTTCGTCTGTCAACGGGTCTTGGCCAGTCCCACGCCACGAAGGCAGTCAACTCACATCGACCATTACGTTGGGAGCACGCCCCATAAGTCTTGAAGCACATGGCCGGATACACCAGGCTGCAATTAATCATGTGTTTTTGTCGAGAACAGACCTGTAATGCCTCGTCTTTCTCTGTTCGAACTTTCTGCCTCAGTAGGACAGCCTGCATCCAGTAGCGACAGGTGTTCAGCGACTTGAAGGCACCATGCTACCCACGAGCCTCTCTGCGCGAAGTGTCTGCGCACGCTAAAACCCCCTGCGCTTAAAATTCACCGCAGGGCCTGGGCTCTTCACCCATCCACTAGTTCGGAGCCAGCCTCGCTCAGACCTTGGAAAAAGCGGAGTCGGTGGAAAGGTCTTGAATAAGGTCCTTCTGTTTGGTTTCAGCATCGCCATCCTGAAAAGGAGGCTTAACTGTCTGCAGGATTATCTCACATTTAGTTGTGATAGAAGTACTAGTGATACTAGTCAAGCGCTTGGGATACATATGAGCGGGCAAACTCAGCATTCGTAGGATACCGCCACAGGGACTCGATTCGCGATTCCTGAGGGTGTCATCCCATCTTCCAACTTGAGTGCTGGCAGTGGTGGGGGAATAAGGGGCGAACACCAAGCCAATACTGGCTATCTGGTGCAAAGAAAGGAAAGCATTATGCAGCATATGTTTCGTTGCAGTGCTATATGCAAAGGGCGTTCTGCAGGTGCAAAATTCAAATAGGCTCGATGGCAACAACCCCCAAGCCACGAGATTCTCATTGAATTTCCGGGCACATGGCCTTGCACACCGCCCCCAACACCCCACCCTCCAAACACACCTCCTTGGCAAAGAATGAACAAGCAGAACAAAGAGAAAGTGTGAGGGGTGTGGTTGAGGGTCCCACAAACAGCTCTGTGATTCTCTCGGCCTCAAACTCATCTGCCTCAAGTGCACGGTGTTCGACGACAGCCTGGCTGGCACTTGCAGGAGTGGATTGAGGCTGGGTGGCGAGCAACATTTTGCGCCAGCCATTGTAGGTGTATTTGATCCCAGCTGCAAGTGATTGTTCAAGGTGCCCCCCCAACTTTAGTAAGGCCACAGCTGGCTGGCTCCCCGCATACGTGAAGGTGACCTTTGCGGTCTGGTTGAGAGCCTCAACATCATCACTTAGTGCCATATACTTATGTGCTGAACTTGCGAAAACACCAACATGATACTGACCAATGTGTCAGGTCCCTTATGTTGCACGGGCTCACTATTCGGCAACATCCTGACGCTTTCACACTCCCTCCTTGCTCGTGCATCTCAATTAACCTGCCGAGTGCCTGGTCAACCAACCGGCACTGCCAAGAAGCAACACGGAAGCCAACGCGCCCAAACGCAACTTAATGCTTCAACATGGTGCTGGTATTTGCTCGTTGTCAGTTGTGTGAACCAATTGACATGACGGACACATAACGTTACACATCGGTGCGTTGAATGTGTTTGAGGTGTTGTGCAACGGGCACACGAATGCCTTTCCATCTTAGCATCACGGGGGCTACATCTGGTGAGGCTTGATTTCTCCAATTTCTCCACCCAGAATACCTCTTTTTGTGAACAAATAGTTCAGTGAGGGTTGAAAGGCCAAGGTCATGATGCCACGTGGATCGACTATCTGGCCTGGTGCTCTGCACATCATGCGATGTCCATGTCATCGTCTCCGTCCATGTCCTCAGCCCAAACTGTGGCTCCAAAGCTTTGCGACGGTGGGACGATGGACCATGTTTAATGTTCCACCCAATGAATTATGTGTATATATATATATATATATGTATATACAATATTCTTCCCTCTGACTGCTTGTCCACGTTGTCTTCAATTGTTGGTTTCAACAAAGACGAAGACAGTCGTTTGATCCAAAGGGTGACGCAATCTAAAAAGACTTTGTATCAGCGGCACATAACTTCGAATGAATTCGACCTGCAACATTCAATCATCGAGGCTATTAGGAGCACGAGCTATAGTGGAACAATCTTTTTTAGTGACTGTCGGAATCTTTGGTTTGGCCGATATATCAGGTTTTGCCCTGTCCAATTCTCCAAGGCTGATGCTGGGATATTCCGGTCTCCTGCTGTACATGATCACAGAGATCCTACGGTAGCGCAACAGTCTTAGGGCTTCAGGAATACTTCAGGTAAGTTTCCTTCGGCATGCAGTGCGTGCGTGTGTGCGTGTGTGCGTGTGTGCGTGTGTGCGTGTGTGCGTGTGTGCGTGTGCATAAGTTTCCTTCGGCATGCAGTGCGTGCGTGCGTGCGTGTGTGCGTGTGTGCGTGTGTGCGTGTGTGCGTGTGTGCGTGTGTGCGTGTGTGCGCGTGTGCGCGTGTGCGTGTGTGCGTGTGTGCGCGTGTGCGTGTGTGTGCGTGTGTGCGCGTGCGCGCGTGCGCGCGTGCGCGCGTGCGCGCGTGTGGGCGTGTGCGCGTGTGCGCGTGTGCGCGTGTGCGCGTGTGCGCGTGTGCGCGTGTGCGCGTGTGCGCGTGTGCGCGTGCGCGCGTGCGTGCGTGCGTGCGTGCGTGTGTGCGTGTGCGTGTGTGCGTGTGTGCGTGTGGGCGTGTGTGGCGCGTGTGCGCGTGTGCGCGTGTGTGCGGGTGTGTGCGTGTGTGTGCGTGTGTGTGTGTGTGCGTGTGTGTGCGTGTGTGCGTGTGTGGGCGTGTGTGCGTGTGTGGGTGTGTGGGCGTGTGGGCGTGTGTGCGTGTGTGCGTGCGCGTGTGCGTGTGCGTGTGTGCGTGTGCGCGTGTGCGCGTGTGCGCGTGTGCGCGTGTGCGCGTGTGCGCGTGTGCGCGTGTGCGCGCGTGTGCGCGTGTGCGCGTGCGCGTGTGCGCGCGCGCGTGCGCGCGTGCGCGCGTGCGCGCGTGCGCGCGTGCGCGCGTGCGCGCGCGCGCGTGCGCGCGTGCGCGCGTGCGCGCGCGCGTGCGCGCGTGCGCGCGTGCGCGCGTGCGCGCGTGTGCGCGTGTGCGCGTGTGCGCGTGTGCGTGTGCGTGTGTGTGGGTGTGTGTGTGTGAGCGCCGCTGCACGCGCATGCATGCCAATCCTGTAGCGACAAACAGCAGGCAGACTCTCCCAAAACCACCAAACAACTACTCACAGCTGGCTCAAACAAATATCAACTATTTACAACTGAAATCGCCCAGCAAATGGGGTGTCTGAAGCGGGGTATGCAGAAGAAACCTATGATGTATCCCTCCAGACTTCTTGTCCAGCTGTTCCTATTCCAGCAGAGCACCGTAACAGGAAGGAAGAAATGGTCATGAAAACCGGATGTATCTTTTCCTGCAAGGGTGCTCCCAAAATACAAGCTTCCGTTGTGCTGAGACCATCAGAATGTATTCAAAAAAGTATATTGCATAGTCACTAAGCAAGTGCAATGAAAACAACGAGTAACTTAAAAGAAAGGCTGTAACACGCTTTGATTCGCTTTTGCTAGGTGCCGGGCAAGATCCATGACCTCATCTCCCCACTCCCAGGCCTGTTCATTTGGAGCGAACAATGCAAGTTGGCGGCATGCCCCACGTTAGCGGGCTGGATCGGTGAACATGCTGCCACGAAATGGACCACCAAGTGCCGTTGCATTCCTGTCCGCTGGCGTCATCCTCACCATGCCACATTAGAAAATGCTTTCAGCTGTTCAACATGATTCCTGCCTGGATGGCTGCACATTGCCCATATAAAGTCAAATCTGAACAATCGTGCACTTTGCTTTGTTGTGGTTCTCGTCCCTTCTTGGGAGATGCCCACCTGGACTCGGGACACGCATCTTGACACCTTGCTTTCCATTCTCGAAAAATGTAACTTTGTTCAAGGTACCATCCAGGATACACTCCATTATTTGCCAGCTCTAAACTTGACAAGGCCAGTCTTGGTAATCTGAAAGCAGACTCCATTGGCTTGCAATTGCTCGCTGCGACAAAATTAGGACAAAGTCGAAAAAGATGGCCGTCCAAGGCGGGCAGCATGCTTGTATAGTAGCATACTACAGGTAGGTTGATCAAGAAGTGTAGCAGCACACAAATATAAGTTTGCCAAGTATATTTCCATCTCGGCATGTACTTGTCGGCCCATCAACTGGGCAAGCACACCTCTCCCATCAAACCTCTGTCGCTTGCCACAGCCTCCTCATCCCAAATCCCGGCTGCCTGTGAGCAGATTTCGATGGAAACACAGAAGCGGAGTCAGCAGCAGGAAGCTAGATGCATCAAGCAACTGCAACGAGGGGCCATCCAGGAACCGGGATGTCATGAAGTGCTCAAAGTCTTACATCTCTGATAGCATGCGGAGCGCTCGTGAGATCTCTTACAAAACCTACTCTAAAGGCCCTCGACCACTCTCGTGCGTCATCATGCTTCTTGGATTTCGCTTGACCGTCTCCCATGTTTCTAATTGCTCCAAGCATGCACCGCAAGTGTTGTTTGCTTGGAAAATGTTCAACACCTCAACGTAGGTCTGTAAGATTTATCAGCTTTCAGGTGCGCACTTTGTTAGGAAGAAACCTGATCAGCCGGTGAAACTGTAAACACTGCTGCCTTAGCGGCAGCCCTGGCTAGTTTGCCGCGAAGAACAAGAATATCTTTGTTCCATAGCTCTGAGCTGCAGGCTTTTGGGCATGAGTTGGGCCAACGCAAAAAAAGACTTCGGGTTCCACCTGAAGCGGCTCGGGAAGCTCCTCCTCTTCTTCCTGCATGGCGGTTGCCGAGGGCCACGAGGCCATGTAAAAAAGGCACACAAGTCAAGGCCTCACTCGATGGATGCCTCCAAGCAAGTCCGGCTAAAATTACTTGGCCGGTGCTTCCGACATGGGCACGCTGAAAGGCTACAAACGCGAAGTGGCAATGAGCGCAATCAACGTACATCTACGGAGCAACATCATGTCGCACCTATCATATCTCTGATACTGCTAAGCCTGGGAATACTCAGGTAGCAGTTCCAAATTGATCAGAATGTGGCAGCTCATCGTCCAGTCCCACCACACTGCGCTAAAGCCCTAAACCGCTATCTCCGAGCCCCTTAATCCTAAATCTCAATCCCAAAGCATCTAAAACCCGTAACCCCTATACCGTATACCCGTCAGCCCTCGACATTCAAGCTTTCTTCCCAGCGGCAGAAGCAAGAAATGGGGATGACATCCCCTCAAACCTCAATCTTCTTGGCAGGAACCTTGCGTGTTGCTTAGACATGCCCCCCCCCCCCCTGCGCCGGCAAAACCATCAGCTTCCACGGTTCCCCGCCTCGCGCTGACGCCGGCGCTGTCTGGTGCGTGCTTCCTCTGCCAGCAACTGCCTCAGGCGGCTCAAAGGGACCTGGAAAGCCTCCTGGCCGTGAGGCTGAAACAAAGTTTTGATGCGATCAGCCGGGTGCTACGTGTGATATGCCTCTTCAAGCCCTACCAAAACCAACACGCGTCCAGAGAATAAGACCCCTTAGACCCTTGGAACCAGTCTCTGCCGGTAAGACTGATACCGGATATACAGAGTCTGTCCAATGGCACAACAAGGTTACCCAAACAGCAGTGTGTATTACTTTGTGGTCGAGCGCCTCAAAAAAACATAAGAATGTGACTCGCAAACCCACCACCTGAAAGCGAGGCTATGGCTGAAACAATGCCCTCACAAGGTTCAGAAACTCTCCAAATAAGACGATGGGGAAGCATGAGCACATTGACACCTTGCGAGCGCGCGCGCCACGATTCGCGAATTCCTCTTCAGCGTGTGGAACGGTGTGGAAAGTGCGGAAGTAGATAGGCGTAACCACCTTCTGAAACTCAATTCACGAAGCTCACCGTGGGACATGCTCGCTACTAATTGACCACCAACTGGCCTAGCATGCGTTTACGGGACATGCAGTGACCACCTTTGCTGAGGCATTGGCGCTTGGATGGCGTTGGACCTCCCAGCAAAATTTGCCCGTAGACCCTGTATGTTGAATAGGATAGAGGCTGCAGACGCCTGATTGACAGCTCTAGCTTTGGGTTGGACCAGTTGGTGGTCACTTAAATACTAGTCATGGTAGCGTGTCTCAATTTCCGATGTCCTGAATGAAAAATTAAAGCGTAAGAAAGCAAGAAAGAGAGACGCAGCACAGGGACAGGTATGGGGCAGGGTTGAGCTGCAAGACGTGGGCAGTGCAGGCTAGAGGCCTTGGGTTCCTGAATTCCGGCGCCATTTGAGGGCCTGATCAGTAATCACGCATCCGCAGAGCTATCCAATTACAGCCACGGAAATCAAATGCCTTGATGAAGCAACGGAAGTGGGGTTTGCAGGGGAAGTCAAAAGGGAAGATCCAACCAAGACAAACTGCTTTGCCTGGAAACAAATCAGCACCAACACCAGCCGCTTCCTGGGTCCCTTGGAGCAAAAAGTGCTAGGCACCTCTCTTTGGGCTTAAGCACAAACATCAATTTGTCAATGCTTGCCACTGAGATATAAGAACAGAACAAATTCATTGTCTAACTTACGTGGTATCAATCACGCTCGCGTGGTGTTCAAACCTGACAGCTCTACCGATTGCCACTAAATCCGGTTGTTTGTCGCTTGAAAGCCAACCACCTGGCGACACATCGAATGAGGTCTTGACTAACATGCACCGCCTGATTCCAATCTTATGCATCATTGCTTTCATAATTTCTTTCTTCAGTTGCTGCTGTGCGACGTCAGTCATGACATATCCCCCTCAGTGACTCAGTTGGCACATGCTGACCATATCTGGACATGCCACGTTGGTTCGCATGAACTGATCAACAACTCCCAAACCTGTGAAGCCATATCTCTTCATAGGATTGAGTTCAGCGCTCACACCCATTTCGTCGTATCAAGTTAAATTGGATGCCAATCACAGAAACAAGTCCCATCACGCATTCTAAGCTTGGTGCGACAGTGAGACTCGTTGAGCAATGCTGCTTGATCCCTGTTGGGGCACACCGCCTCCCCCACAGCTGCGCCGGATCATTGGCAATCCCGGGAACCCCGACAGTACTCGCAGGGGAACCGCCATTCTGTGATGGTGCTGGTCAGCATCATCCGGATCGCCCTGCCAAAGTGCCAATGCACAGGGGTTCATATGCTGTGTCCGTTTCTCTTTTGGTTTGTCTTAAAACCAACCTGAAAAGGGTACACTTAAACGACACATACCCAAATGCTGGCCCGCGGACTCGAACTCAAGCGGGTTGCTCTGTTCGGATAGGCTGGTCTGATCATGAAGAAACGCCCTCTTTGAATTGGTATTAACCGGTGTGGTGGAAGACGCGTTGCCTTCACATGCTATCTGAAATAGGGTTCAAGTCTAGGTGAAATGCCATAAGCTTGACTGGCGGGTCTGGAGCTTGTATCGCCAGGTTTCTGAGAGCATTTGTTTGTTAGGGTTGCTGTGTTTTGGACATGGACCCTGAGCTGTTCCTTTACAAACCATGACAATGTGCACCTTTAGTCGGCACATTTCAAAGACTTGGATTACACAAGGCGGTGCAGTGGTGGACGTGTTTTGCGAGGTCACGCTAATGTCCACCTGGGATTGATGATTAGATGCGGAACAATGAATGTTGGGGGCCCTGGCAGGATTGACGAAGGCATGGTGAACACAGTAAAGTACGCCCCGTCCCCACAGGACTCCATAATCACTGTCAAATAGACAATCAACTGCCAAAAGAACTCTGGCCTGCCCCACTGACCCCTGCCAAGCCCTTTGTTTTCCTTTGCGCAGTGATGGTGGTGAAGCTAAAAACAATGAAGTCTCCTTCTCAGCCTTCCAACCCTTTTACGAAACTCCAGGGAGGAGACAAAGGTCAAAGGGGGAAAGGACAAGCTTGGCAACACTAAAGTCAGCTCAAACAAACCTGCAATACTTAGCGATACTAAATCAATCGACCTGATCCAGGGAACCTTCTTCTACAACCCTCCTTTGTTGAGGTAAGAATATCTTGATCAGGGGGTGGTCAATAGCTAGCAGTTTGCTTCAGGAGCTGGGTGCAAGTTTAGCATGCTATCTGGACCGGTGGAGTTTGGAAATCATGTTGACATGCTGCATGTTGGTATCAAGAGTTCCTTTGCTTGGCTGAGCATGGGCTTGTTTGTGTTGGAGTTTTTCCGTATCATGCGCAGCAACATACTTCCAACCTAGCGTATAACGAAGGTAAGCCGGGATGTTACTGCATATGTTGCGGCAAGCTGGATTTTCTCAAGTGGCTTGGAGTGCACAAATCCCAACTCAAGAGCATTGCGGACAAAGCATTGTACTAGAATGCTCGTACAACCCTTCCCACACAATGATTCGATCCTACAGAAACAGATTGGGTTGGATAAAGCCATGTATTTCAGACCAACTGAAGGGCTCTGCTCCAAAAGTGCTCCTTTGCTCCCCTCTACAGGGCATGGAAGTGACGTGGTAGGATGCTGGTACAATGCGTTGGGCCTGGAGGAAACTCCAGATCGGGCAAGGTAAATGTTGGATGCTGCAACAACTGAAGGGTAGTGCAAGACTTTGCTAGCCATCGTTTTTTGTGGGGCCTAGGATAGCATGTCCGGCCTACAGTGAAACCTTGCGCAAGCTGCCTATGATGCATCCGGCTCAAGTCTGGCGCATCATGCCAATGGCAATCACAAGACTCGAGCACTGGAATGAAGTTGCATGAATTGACACTTATCTGGCGTTGCTTGGGAATTGAACAGGCACCACAAAAGAACGAGACTAGGAAGTTCAACTCACTTCAACACTACAAAATGGCTGAAAGTAGACAGTTTGTGCTGCTGTTTCGAACCCCAAAGTGCTGAACACTGGCTGCTTTCGGCCAGAATACACCGAGACGAAGCGAAAAGAAAGGACCCCCCGCTCGCCTGGTGAAACAACAAGAAGAGAGCTGAGCGCGGGGTGGTAGAGGAACACCCCCCGCTAATGAGACACACAGCGCCGCGCATGGGGAAGGCAACTTGCTAGCCGGGGTTTCCAGTGTGGGTGGTGCCTGCACAAGTCGTGCTTGGATCAGCGCTGCAAGGGGAGGCCCCCTGCCCCATACAGAAACCGCTTGTGAAACTCGCCCGTGACAAGCCGCAGCACCAAGAACCGATGGCCCGCAACCAGCTTCCAACCCATGTGGCACTTACTGTGCTGTCTCTCTCATATCTCAAACATGCAGCAAGCCATTGAAGTGTGGGGGTTGTTCCTCCAGGATTCGCATGCTGGCTGGTTTCCGCTGGTGACCTACAATGATGGTGTGTATATTGTTGAATGGATTGATATAGGCATGCGCATCCACTGGGATACACGTTGACTCATCCCTCAACTTAAAACACGGACGGCGGCCTCACGGCCAATCGCGTAGCGCTGGCCATTGCTCCACACCTCTGCAAGCTCTGCACCCCGGGAAGGCCCCACTCACGTACTAGATTCAAAAATCAACGCACAACATTGGCGATACAGGGCACAAGAAATGAAACGAACCATTCAGCATATGAATCAATATTCCTGGCCCCCAAAATGACAATGTCGGAAACATCATCTGTTTTCCCTAATTGTCATCCCATGTAAAGGACCCGTTGATTAACCCCCATATCCAGCTGTGCCTCCAAAAATCAATGGATCAACGGGGCCAACCAGCGCCAGAGCGAGCACAGCCAAATCGAGACTCTTTTATCTGGCAGCTCCTCCAGCACTTGTTCTGTGGACCAAGCTACGATGGCACAAAACAGTGCAGCACAATTCGAACGGCACGGAGCTCGGTGACGTTGTGCCTCGAACAGCACATCCTCGCCATAGTCATCTGTACTCATTTGATCCGATATTGACCTGTGGGGCGGCCAGCCCCGTGAGGGCGTTAGTTAGAAGTTAGAAGGTTGACTTCTTGCAGTTACACAGGACTGGATCCTTGCAGCCCGTGCCAACACTGCTCACGAAACGGCATCTGTTTTCTGGGCCCAAGTCCTCGGCGCTAACTCTTCCCGACTGGCAACAGCATCCCCAGTCTCCCAGGCCTAGACTCAAGCTACATTTGGGCTGGGTTACTTGGTGCAGCTTGGGGCACGCATCCAGGAATAGTCTTTCCAGCTACTTCCGATTCTTTCCTGGAATAACTAGTATGTTGTCTAGGAAACCGCCTAGATCCGAAGACTTTGGCTTCTTGATAGCGATCCGAAAATGAAGAAGCATTGCCTGACGCTCCCAGGCCTCATGTCCACTGGAGGTTGCGAAGGACCACTGTCCGGGGTGTTCCTTAGGGCCAGAGTGGTTTGGCTGCCCTGGAAGGACCGTGAGGTGGATAAAACAGCTGATTAAGTGCACCACCATTGTCGAAATCGGCCAAAGTTCAACGGTCGTGCCACTCAAGGGGGTACGAGAATCGATTGATTCCCTTTTGAGATTTACGAGAAGCTATCGGTTATCTGCCGATTCCACAGCTCAGATTGCTCAAGATATCCAACAGCAGAAGCTAGTTCATCCAAAAAGAAAGCAAATAGTGGCATAATCTCGTCAATTCCTGGCAATTTGTTTGTATGACCTGACCAAGCATTTACCATGTTTCAGCGCTCACACAGAACAGCCAAAAGCTTTTCAAGTTTGACTGACGGGCCTGCTGGGGGTACTCTCTGAACTGCTATCTGCCCTGCATACGCAGCTGTCTCAATGGTCATTCAAAGCAGCAATTCGGATCAATCCCTATAGCATCACAAACTTAGGCGTCCAAGCAGAAACAACATCGCAAATGCCAACAATGCTTTCTTGAGCAATTCGCATCAATGCTGCTTGACTTTAAAGACATGGGGACTGGCCCTATGGGAGCTTCGAGTTGCAAGATATCTATGGACAAGTGTAGCAATAAGCTTTGGTGACAAAGATGGTCACTGCATGCATTGCCAACATGATCCAGCCAGATTCAAGCCTTAAAACAGCTCAGTGTGCTTGGCATGTACATATAAAGGTATGTCATCGTCAGTGAGTCAGGATTCCAGCGCAAAGAAGACTCATTGCTGGAGAGATCAAGAGGACACATGGAAGAGCGAACATGAAGTCGGATGCAAACCGTGCAGAAATGACTTCCAAAGGTCTGCAAGAGCCTGTTTTTCGCGCTGCACGTTGAGCACCTCCAGCTTCGGAGGTGCGCGCAAAGTGAAGGATCTGATTTGGCCACTCGCTCGGGTGCTCGGTAAGATGGCCGCAAACATTTGGCACATTTATTTTTGTTTGGCACGTCTATGCAAGTCTGCATCACATGAGATGAGCCACCCAGAGCTCAAACTGCAGCCAATTGCATCCTTCGTCTGAGTGCCCAAATCGCCTGTTGCGTTTTGCGAATGTGATCGACCGGCTAGCAACAACACCACTTGCGGTCCGTTGGTCTCGAAGTGGTCGTAAACAGGGCCATTCAAGCTGCAAAGTCATCCCTTGTGGCTTTCCATCACAGATCAACAAGTGGGAGGTCCGCAAAACAATGCAGCAAACCTAGCAAGCCATAGAAAACCCATGTAAACCCCAGTCTGCTGGGCAATGCTTCACTGCGCGCAGCGAAGGCAGCTTTGGCCCAGCAGGCAATGGGCCTCCAAAGCTCTCCAAGGTGGTGCTCGGGCTCGGGAGCCCAAACGCCTGGACCAACGTGAAGCTTTCTTGCGATCCGAAGCTCGCAATAGAGAGACACGGAGGGGCACATGGGGAGCATGTGGTTTGTCTTGGTGCAGAACTCGGAAAATGTACCCAGCAATCAGGCAGTGCAGTTTCTGGCATGGGCTTCCAACATGTCTCTGCACTGTTGACAGCTGCATCCATCGCTCGCCGCTACCCTGTAGAAAAAAAGAACCTGATAGAAGCCACGAACCCGAATGCAAAAGATGGCCTTGGGAATGCGCATTTCGTCAACCCGAGCAATGTTGTCCAGCTGGAGACGTGTTTTGAGCGACGTTTTGAGCTTGTGACCGACCGTTCAACCGACACCTCTAAATACTTTTCAACGCAACACTCGTAAGCGGCTTTCGTCACTGACACTTTTGAGAGACGCTTCTGAGCAAGAGCCTGAGCAACGGCGACACTTCTGAACACACTTACAAGCGGTATTTCGAATTACGCTCCTAAGCGACACCTCTGATTGACACATGTAAGCGTCAAGCGCCAATCCTGAAACCATAATTCTGAGCGACAAACTACGGCAAACTGAGCGACACCTCTACACACAGACACAAGCGACACTTCTGAGCAACACTTCAAGTGACACTTTTGCACTTTACACACACATACACGTAAGCGCCGCTTCTGAGCGACAATTCTGAGCGACTAGTTCGGGCAACATTTCTATCTGAGCGACACTTTTGAGCGACACTCCTGAGCAACATTTGTGAGCGACACGTCTGAGCAACAATTCTGAGCGACACGTCTGAGCGACACTGCGGACAACACCTCTGAGCGACACTTCTGAGCCACATGCACTTCTACACGCACATCAGCGACACTCCTGGGCGACACTCCTAAGCGACGATTCGAGCGACACTTCTACACACACATATCTGAGCGACACCTCTGAGCGACACTTCTGAGTGACACTGCTGAGCGACACTGCTGAGCAACACCTCTGACCGACACTTCTGAGCAACACTTCTGAGCAACACTTCGATCCGAGCAACGCTTCTGGTCGACACTTCTGAGCAACACTTTGACCGACACTTCTGAGCAACACTTCATGAGCGACACGAGCGACAATGCTGATGAAAACTTCTGATCGACGCTTCTGATCGAGACATCTGAGCAACGCCTCTATCTGACATTTCTGAGCCACACTTCTGGGCGATGCGACACTTCTGAGCAAGACTTCTGAACAACACTTCTGATCGATACTGCTGTTAACACTTCTAAGCGACGCGACACTTCTGAACAGTGCTGACCGACACTTCTGAACGATTCTGGTCGACACTTCTGATCGACACTTCTGAGAAATGCAGCTTGTCACGTCTCTTGCCACGTCTCTTGTCTTAATGAACACTACTGAACGACACTTCTGATCGAAACTTGCGATCGACACTTCTGATCGACACTTCTGAACAACACTGCAGATTGACACTTCTGATCGTCTCTCTGTGACTCTCTCTCTTCACTCTCTTCACGCTCTCTCTCTCGCGCTCTCTCCCATACTTCTATAATCGACACTTCTGAGCAACACTTTGACCGACACTTCTGAGCAACACTTCATGAGCGACACGAGCGACAATTTTGATGAAAACTTCTGATCGACGCTTCTGGCCGCGACATCTGAGCAACGCTTCTATCTGACATTTCTGAGCCACACTTGTGGGCAATGCGACACTTCTGAGCAAGACTTCTGAACAACACTTCTGATCGATACTGCTGATCGACACTTCAGATTAACACTTCTAAGCGACGCGACACTTCTGAACACTGCTGACCGACACTTCTGAACGATTCTGGTCGACGCTTCTGATCGACACTTCTGAGAAACGCAGCTTGTCACGTCTCTTGCCACGTCTCTTGTCCTAATGAACACTACTGAACGACACTTCTGATCGAAACTTGCGATCGACACTTCTGGTCGACACTTCTGAACAACACTTCAGATTGACACTTCTGATCGTCTCTCTGTCTCTCTCTCTTCACTCTCTTCACGCTCTCTCTCTCGCTCTCTCTTCCATACTTCTATAATCGACACTTCTGAGCAACACATCTGGCCGACACTTCTGAGCAATACTTCTGATGGACACTTCTGATCGAAACTTCTAATCGACACTTCTGAACGACACTTCTGAACGGCACTTCTGAACGACACTTCTGATCGACACTTACCAACGACTCTTCTAATCGACACTTCTGAACGACACTTCCAATGGACACTCCTGATCGACACTTCTAAACGACACTTCTGTCTCCAAATGCGCGCCGCGCCACAGCGAGAGCAATTCGACCCACCCAAAGCGCGCAGAGGGTTCGCTTCGCGTGCTCAAAATGCGCACCGCACCACAGCGAGAGCGATTCGACCCACCCAAAGTGCGCAGAAGGTTCACTTTGTATTTTCAAAACGTGCACCGCGCCACAGCGAAAGCGATGCGACCCACCCAACGTGCGCAGAGGCTTCACTTTGCATTTTCAAAATATGCACCGCGCCACAGCGAGAGCGATTCGACCCACCCAAAGTGCGCAGAGGCTTCACTTTGCACTCACTTTGCAAAATGTGCACCGCGCCACAGCGAGAGCGATTGGACCCACCCAAAGTGCGCAAAGGGTTCGCTTTGCATTTTCAAAAAATGCACCGCGCCAAAACGAGAGCAAGTCGACCCACCCAAAGTGCTGCGCCTGCCACGACATCGGCGCGCAAGCTCGAAAGTGCTGCGCCTGCCGCGAAATCTGCACGAAAAGCTCTAAAGTGCTGCGCCTGCCACGAAATCTGCACAAAAAGCTCTAACTGTAGCGCCAGAATGATTTCGACCGATCTCTTGCAAATCTGCGGTCGTGAAAACGAGCCGATTGTACGACAGGGCCAACGAAAACGGCGCCGGCGCAAACACTATCACGCGCCTGCCAAGCAGGACACCTCAAAACAACCGCCCCTGGATCAAATCCCACTGGCACGGCAACGAGAACACGCAGCCTTCCAAAACACTGCGCCTGCGCAGCGAAACGACACGTCGAGCTTTAAAAGCGAACGCAGCGACGCATCTCGCAAACACATGCTGACCCCCAGACCCCCTTCTATAACGAAAACCCTTCTGCTACGCATTCGGGAAAAAGAAAAAAATGCGTCACGTCTCTACACGCATCCCGCTCAAGCGTCGCCAGAGACTGTTCAGTTCTTGTCTTCTACCAATCAAGCCAGAGCACCCCAAATGCGTCGTGCAACATGTATAACACCGCAAAAATATGGTGTCAATGCCTAGAATAGCACCACACTTGCGAAGTCGCATGTACATGCACTCTAAGGTATAGCATGGGCATGGCAGGACCTTCGTGAGATTTCGGTAGATGCAATCTGCAGCTCTGTGAGCAAAATCGCATATCCAAATTATTGCACCGAAAAGCAGAACTTGACTAGGCTTCATGCAAGCCCTCTCCACGCTCAAACAGCGTGTGGATCAGGACATGCAAAGTTTCCACTCTGCGAGGTCGCAGAGCTGTTCCACAGAGTCTCCATTGGCATTCAAACTGTTCCCTGCAGCCATTCTGCCGCGGTGCTGCTTTTGTGCTTCTGCATCGCGTGATTGCAGCCGCTCCAGCTCCTATCT